AGACAGAGCCACCCCAACAAAAACAAGACCAGCCCTCAGAAGAACACGGGAGCAATCAGTCACGTCCAGGAAGGTAGTTAGAAGCTGCCCAGACCGCCTTGGAGGGAGCTCAATTAGTGGGATCCTCTGAGAGCAGTTACTTGGGCATATGCAGGCAACGTGGAGAGGGCAGAGGGCCAGTTTCTAAAACAAAGCAAAAGAAGTAGCCTCGAGAGAGACGACTGGAGCAGCAGAGGTGGCATCCCCTGGGTTAGTGCCCGCATCTCATTTTGCATTTTAGCAGAAGTCACGGTGCTGAGTTGTTGATTAGGAGGAAGAAAGCCCCTGGTGCATGCAAGGCAGCCAGGCCTACAACCTACAGAGGGAAAGAGAAGAAAGCAAAGAACAGCATCAAAATCACAGCCCCATGCAGAGCCTGTCGGGAGCTAGAGGTCTGGCCAGGGCAGCTGGACAGGGGACTCCCTTTCCCTTCCAGAGAGAAAGGGTCATCCTGGACTCCATCCCCCAGGCTTGGCTGCACTGCACGCTCAGAAGGGAGCCTGGGCACAAAGAACCCTCTCTAAGCTCCCACAGGGCACAGTTGCAGCACGTTTATAAAGAGGCTGGCACATGCCCACAGCTCCTTAGCCCTTGACGAGCAAAATACTTCCAAGAGTATTTCTGCTTCACTGAATTCTCTTCCCTTGAGCTCTGGCCAGGGGGACTGGGATCCTGGCGGCTCAAATCAATGACCCAAGTTCTCTCCGACCCAGGGACAAGCCATCCGTCCACTCGTGGTGTGGACAAAGGCCCCGCTACATGCTGTGGCTCTTCTCTCACCCAGCGAAAAATGCAAGCCTGTGTGACCCTTGCTGGCAGCCATTTCAGCTGCAGAAACCTCACTTTGGTTTGCAAGAATAAATGACACAAAGATGGGAGAAGCTGGGAAGCAGCGACAGAAAGGAAGTGGGGTTTGCGTCAGGAAAACCAGAGACAGGCAGCCAGCGAGGGAAGTAACAGGAACACACTATTCCTCCAGAACCGGACAGGAGCTCTTAAAGTCGGGGTGGCCGTAGCGTCCTTTTCCATAGTAGCGGCTCCTCCAGCGACTGGGAGTGCCCAGCAACCATTCCGCCAGGCGTGGGAAGAGCGTAGTCCGGCCCCAGCAGGTGATGGAGTCAGGCACGCGTGGACAGGTGGAGGAATCAGTTGATGGGAAAGGGGGAGATGACAGAACAGCATATCCGCCACCCCCCGAAAATAAAAAAATGACAAGATCAATGGGAAAGAAAAGAGAAAGTGAGAATTAGGGGCAAGTGTGTAGAAAGTAAACACTGTGAACAGGAAGCTTTGACACAGACTCATTCAGGAAAGGAAAGCCTGCAAGCTCACCTTGAAGGGGCCGGGCAGGGAACAGCCCCATTTGTGACTCAGTTTCCTGCCTGTGAAATGAGAAGGTGGGACTACATGGTTTTTAGGGAATCTGGAATGATGTTCTGAATGCCAGTGTCCACCTAGTGGAGGCTTTTGTTTTGTCGGGGAGAAAACCAGGGCCCAGCTTGTGAAGCAAGTTGCCTGAGGTCCGACTGGAGCTTGGCCTCGCCACCTCACATCACCCTCCTTGAACGGCTAAGAGCCCCATGCTCCTGCTCTCTGCTGGGACAGTCCTGGCTCAAAACCCAGCCCTGACGACCTTCTTCCAGAGACTCTTCCTCGTGTCCCCCAGGTGGACGCAGAGGCCCCCATCTGGGCTGTATCACAGCACTTGGCATGGTATCACCCTTTGCCCGCATTCATTCATGCACATCAAATATTTAGTGACCAACTATCACGTTCCTGGGACTGTACTAGGAGCCAGGAATACAAAGGTGATAAGAGTCCTGATGTCATTACAGTGTGTCTGTTTGTCTTTATGACACTGGAACTTCCTCGCTGGTGGAACCCTGGCCTCGGCCATCTGTTTCCCTGGGCGTGCAGCAGGTGTGCAGCAATGGCTGCCTAAAACGCACACCTCTATGGCTATGATCCATTACCCTACAGTTGTACTGGACTCCAACCCATCCTAAGAGCAAAATACTGAACCCAGTATTGCATGAGATGTGGTATTCCCTAACCACACACTGTCATTCCTCCAGACCATCCCTCTACCTGGCCTGAATCAGCGAAGCACCAAGCATTTCTTTAGTGAATTCTGCAGGACAGAAAACTCATGCTGAGTCCTTCCTCAACTGCAACTGTGGCTTGGAGGTGCCCACTTTTGAGTTCTTTATCAAGACAGGCCTGGAGGCCGGCCATGGTGGCTC